GTGGGGGTAACGAAATAATTTGGATATATCAACAAAGTTGAAATGGTAAATTGGCCAACGTAACGATTACAAAAGCTGACGTTTCGAGCATTAGCCCTTCGTCGTTAGCCCTTCGAGTGCTAGCCCTTCAAGCGTTAGCCCTTTGCTCCGACGAAGGGCTAACGCTCCAAACGTCAGCTTTTGTAATCGTTACAGTGGCCAATTTACCATTTCAACTTTGTTGATATATCCAAATTATTTAGAGTAAGATATTACCTCTAGAATTATGTGTGGCTGATCTTATACATTAATGAACCCACCTTTGGAACAGATCTACATACTTCAAGTTTACACGTGTCTACTACTGACAGTAAGCTAATACTGGTACATTTACATTTCATTTCAAGGGAGGCCTTTAAATGCTTAAAATAGATAACAAGGTTTAAATGACTTTAAGGTAACTCACTTAATGGAAACTGTTCTTGATAGCAGGTTCTTTGCACAGTCTTTGTTTGGCAGACAAATCTCAAGGTAAGGATTCTACAACAATTTAATAAGAAAACTATTATAATAATAAACAAAAAGATAAGTTTGACACGCCTTGTAAACACAATGATGTACTTGGACTGTTCAACCCGTGTCATTCTAATCAAACAGTCACTTTTCCCAATTCTTTAAGTTCCACTCTGGCTGTCTATTAGTTTACATTTCTACCACAATGAAAAGGGAGGTGGTGGGTATCAAGCCCAACAGAAAACCACACAGTAATTTTGCTCAGGATTGTCCCTAAGAAATTAGGCTGCTGACTGAAATTTCAAATGAGGTGCCCTCGAAGAAGGTGCTTTGCACGTAACAAGAGACCTAGCTTGGTAACAACCCTTTGTTCCCAAATGATGCTTCATAACACTTTGAAGGCAAAGCTACTAACTAAAGTAAGCTTCCTGTTCTTAAATGACAGACATGAGAAACAGAGAGAAGTCACAAAAAATAAGTGCTTAAAAGCAATGTCTAATTAACAATTATTCCACGAACGCGTGTTGGATATGAGATGATAGGCTATAATCATCTCATATCCAACAAGCGCGAGTGGAATAATTGTTTTATTAAAAACACCCCCAAGAAATTATTATAATTGTAAGAAGAAACCGGATTTTTTAGCTCCCTTTTGATTTTAAGCTGACACATACACTTACCATATTTGTAGATTAAAGTATATTGGCTCATATACCATAATGGCTAAGCCAATAAAAAGTCTTGAATTGGATTATCCAATGATCCAGTTTTTAATAATATCTATTAATCTATGCATTGTAATATCCCTTGTACTCAGGTTAGTCACACATACATGCACATCTTAATCTTCTTTACCCTTTAGCTCCCATAACTGACCAAGACAGAATTTCTCCTTACAATATCAATACAATATCAAGCAGACAGTGATGGGAATAAAGAGAAATATCATTAGGAGGAAAATTAGTTGATCCGATAACAGATTCTCCACATTCACATCATAAGAATTGTAAGTTAGATGGTAAGGAGAATTACAAGTGAGATCTTAGAAATGCAAGGGTTAATTAATTAGATAACTGCGTTAAATATTGAAAGATTGTAAGAGTGTAACCTCAGAAGTGCCTATCATGCTTGGCTGAGCAATCACTGACTAAAAATCCAGCCGGCAGCAGGCACTTAACAACAATCCTATCCACCCAGGACTAAAATGCTGACCTTCCATTCCAGAGTTCAGCATGAAACCCTCTAGCTATGCCACCCAATCTATGAAAGGATTGAGCAATCACTGACTAAAAATCCAGCCGGCAGCAGGCACTTAGCAACAATCCTATCCACCCAGGGCTAAAATGCTGACCTTCCATTCCAGAGTTCAGCATGAAACCCTCTAGCTACGCCACCCAGTCTATGAAAGGATTGTACCAGAACTCAATGTAGATCAATTAAAAACAAAGGTTGGTGTACCTGTTATTCCACATCACAGGAGGAAAATTTAGATCATAAAAAAAAGTTTCAGAAACCTTGTTTAACAGCACATTAACCCTTTAATCCCTAAGAGTGACCAGCACCTAATTTCTCCTTACAATATCACCCCTGAGTCAAGCACTAAGGTCAGGAGAATTAAGGAAATGATCACCAACTAAAGAAGCTCTTGATTTTCAAACAAAATCTCCTTTCAGCACCTTAGGAAATTTATAGAGAACAGTATGGAGAATATGCATACTGATGTTAGGTTTAACTATGGTGATTCTTACTTCTTTTCTGTAGTCCTTTCTGTCCACAACTACTTCAAAACCAAACATACCAGAGACTGATAACAACTCCTGATGTGAAGCAAGGCAATGAAATGGTCAATTTCCCAACATATTGAAGCTACCAGTCCACTCAAAAATAATAAGTTATTTATTATACCTCTGATCAGATTAGTACTGTATGTTGTTTTTAAACTTTTGGCTTAGTTTAAAATGTTTTAAAACATTCTCATGTTATTTTAACGAATAAGAGAAAAGAGGAAATTGACAATCAGACAGGTTTCAAAAAGTTAAATCAGGAGAAAAATCGAATCATAGCAGGAACATTACACATATGGTTGGAATAAGAAGTAAGGCCATCCTGACAAAGCTCACAAATCTACCGCAAATTTTCTTGTTCAAAGAATAAGTTCTCTCATTGCTTTAGCATCCCAGCCAATATCACCTTGTCAGAGGCTCATAAGTATAATTATGATAATTATATCTCGCCGCCTCTGTGTTCTTTCAGCAGGCGCCTAACAGTACATCCCAATGGAAGTCCTGCAGCCTTCCTCTAGGGCTATCGTTAATTGCGCTTGTGCTTTTCCTGAATTAAACAGATAACTACAAAATTGAATGCCTAGGTATACCCCCAGATGAAACAACCTTTCTTCTACCTACCGATATTCTAAAATCCACGTGTTCTTGGGCAAAAAGACATACAAATTGTACATTTGTTTTTCCCTCCACTTTGTTCGCCATTTTGAATTTAGCGGAAGTGTGCTTAGCTGTATCACTGGACAGCAGCTAACCGCGCGAAAAGTCAAAAACAAAATGGATTTTCGAAACATTCGCAAAATAAGCATTAGAGGTTAGTTTTCCAGCTTGTGTTTCAGTGTTATGCGGTCTTGCAGGTGTGTGGAGTTTTTTAAAAGCAAGGATGGTTATCTTAAAAATTTTATGGTTAAAACAATAACGATAAAACTTTAGGGCAGGACCTTTTTTTTCTTTTTGAAATCAGGTCATTCAACTCCTTAAGACTCGCGCGTAGGAATCCAGAATGCGAGGGTTCTCTCCATGGAATCTCTGCTCTTTTTTAGGCAAAATGGGTATAGAAGCTGGGAAAGATGGATTACGATCAATCTTCATCAGATGCTGATTACTCAACAGAAGTTGAATGAGACGTGGAAAGGCTTACGTATAGTTGGCTGTTCAGTTGTTATTTTCTTCAGTTCTCTTTTTTTCTTTATTCGGGAGTGAAGGGAATAATAAATAATTTCTATATGAATAACAAAGACCTTGACGACGTAAAAATAAATCAAACACAATGTGGAGAATATTACTTAGCGAAGTATACCGCATTCACCCGGTTTATAGTTTTAGTAAAGTGGGTTCCGCTCTCGTTCAAAACAGGTGGAGTACGGAGTATAACGAAAACAGACCAATGGGACTTAGTAAAGGGTGACAGTCTGGCAGAGGTGAAGATTACAGTGATTAAGGGGAAAAATTCGGGACTTTGACGACCGACCGCTTTATACAGGTTCGACTGTATTTGTTTGTTCATTCGGCATGATATCATTTGTTTTTCTGTTCTCTATCACTCCTTATGCACTTTGAGTCTTTTCCTTGAGATTAAGTGCTTTTTTTGCGGCCATTATGCGAATAAAGAAAATATTTAAGTGGCCGTTATGTGAATAAATAAATATTTAGGTGTCGTCGCGCAGAAATTTCAAACAGAATTTGTATTTCTCGAGATGATTTCATTCCAGTCCGGGTAATAGAGCTCTCTTATCCTCTGAGCATGCCTGTGAAGGTTCTGTGCTTTTGTCTTGATAAGTTCATCAAACGGACTTTCTGGAAGATCCCAGGCAGATGCAGCAATGAAGGCAAACAGTGCTACATCAGCAAGGCAAGGTTTTTCTCCAAACAGAAATTTCTTTTTGCCTAAAATTTCCGATACTGCCAATAAATCTCTCTCAGCGATTCCATACAACTCTTGTTCCGAGTGTCGACCCATTCCATGTCCCCACAGATCCCGTTTGATTTTCTTCGTTATGTGGTGAGCTATCAGATGTTTAAGAGGGAAGACGAGATGGCCAAACTTTTTAGTGAACACCTTCCTTCGATATTCTGCTCCAAATGCAGACAACCAACGGCAATAAACAAGAGCCCTGTCAAAGATGAGAAATATTTAGGTGACAAAACTTTAGGCTCTGAATCCCTTTTTTACCTTAAGTTGACCACTTTCATTACCTTAACACTTTTGTGGCAGAGATTTTTCTTTTTTTTTTTAGCAGCGAAACTACTACCAGTCATGAGCGGCAAAGCCACGGTCGTTGGCTTTGCCGCTCACTCTCAGCGGTTTTGCTGATTAAAAAAGAAAAAAACCCTTTGGCACCCAGCGCATTTTGTATTGAAATAGTATTAAGCTTATAGCCAACGGAATCTCAAAAAGATTCCTCCAATTGCTTCTATGACTGAGAGAATATTTTTCAGCAGTACAATCTCTAATGATTAAATCTGCAATATCCTGATATCCGTCGTGATGACGGAGGAAAAGGATATAAACTTATTTTCGCTTTAGAGCGGAAATTACCCGAAGTTTAGAGAAAAATGAACATGTAATCGTTCGTATCACAATTTGAAGTCAGATTTTTATCACGACGTTTCGGCGACTGCTATACTGCCAGTTTTCGTCAGGTGACGAGGCCAATAGTTTACTTTTCGATACATATGGCACCTTCGTGTGTTGTTATTTGTGTGTTTTGGTTGTTGGACGGCTGATATCATTCTAGAGAAACTTGAATAAGAATTTCCTTGTGGAAGTGACCTTTGATCCCTTTTTCTAATTGGTGTAACACGGCTATGTCAGTTACCCATTACTGTGGCCACCCTCAACTACTTGTGATATTTAAAGAACTACCGTAATACATAAATTAAATAATTAATTATGAGAAAGGTTAGTCTTAAAATCCTAAATTTTACAGTAGCCGTAGCCACTGATCCAATGTGTAAGTAAGGCCAAGTGATCAACTATGTTCCCACAAAAGTAAACAGAACTTCGAAGGGAAGCTCCGAATTAAGCTTAAATATTTCGCGCAAAATTGGTCGACCAAACTGATGTTTTGATATTAATTTTTGTCTCGGAACTACATGAAAAGGAAAAAAAACTCCGAAAGTTCGAAATCTAACACAAGCCTGGTGATGACCTGTTCAAAAGGCCATCGTGCTCTCTCTGGGATTGCTTTTTGCTACTTATTTCTATACGCTCAAGTGGGACTGGAAATGTCTCTCCAATTTGTCAGCCCCCTTACCGCCCTTTTCGCGGTTTTTTTTTTCTTCTAGCCAAAGTGAGCGAACGTCAGTTTTGAATGCCTATAGGCAGTATACCATCAAGGCCCTTCGCTCCTATTTAGATCATCTTATGAAATCAGTACAAGTTAAAAGAAAAGATAACTGAGAACTCTCTACGATATAATCTACACGAATCGTCAATATTTGCACAGGCTCCAAATACTTTTCCATAACTTTATATCCTGTTTGATGAGCGTAATCATGAGATCCTTATGTGCCCTTAGCACAATACATTAAAATTCATGCTTTTATTGAGGAAGTCGGTTTAGGATACACAAATATAGTGTAGGGTAAGAAATTAAAACAAAATGACTTTTAAAGCTGCACTTACCAATAAGTGTTTTCCTCCAGCATGGTTCGAACACTGTGGGCGATGGCCTTTTCTGTGTCGTTCATATGAGAATCAATGTCCACTTTGAATTCCCGTTTCAGGAACTGGATACAGAAATTGGAATCAGCGATTTCTTGTCCATTAAACTCAATCCATGGCATTTTCCCCTTCGTAGAAAACTTCAAGCGATAGTCGTTTTGGTACGGAATTTTTGTCATACGAAGGAAAGTTTCCAGCTTCAGACAAGGCGGAGAACCATTGACTGATGACTCAGTCGGAGCAAAATGGTGCAAGGTAATTGTTTTTCGCTTGGCAGCGACCTTTTTCCTCTTAAATATCTGCATCTTAGTTAGGTTACAACTGGTGAACTGCTTAATCCAACTGGTTTAGATTTTCCGGCTAGAGCTGCGCTTTATTTATTACATACACTCAAGAGTGGATAATGTGTCCTTTCCTCATGAATAAAAGTATGTCTATTTTTAGTATTTCTATTAGCTTAGACATTGTACGCCGTAAATTTAACTTAAATACGCCATCACTCAGATACGAAACTGATCCGCATTCTTCTCGACTTGAAACCACTTCTGCGCTAGATTGACGCAACTTTCAGGACGGTTTATCCCCTTAATACTTACCTTATTGTTATTCAGTTAAATTACTAGTGCTTTCCTTGTTCTCTCCCTGGAGAAGGAAAAGCAATCAAAGTAGTCATTTATAGTTTGTGCATCATGGAAACTCTTTTAACCTAAATGTCCGCGGGGGGCCATCATGAGCGGACCGTATATTGATCTTCCGAGATATCTAGATGTTCTTGATGCTAACAATAAATCAATAATTTTCATAAAAGTTGCTAGGTTCAGCTCAAACAAATTTCCTATCGTGACGAGTGCTATATGTTTTACTGAATTAACTTCGTATCGACCACGTTTACACAACCCTTCGAATTCTTATTTAGCTTCGCTTCATCTCTCCAAAGCCACTTGTTGCTTTCAGTTCCTCATGTAACACCTGGCGACGAGATATTCTTAAGAGGGTTAGAGAAACATTTTAGGAAAGACTTCCGGATCTCTGATAAAAAAAATGCAGTGTCAAGGTGATGAAAGCTTGACTAATAATTCTTTGTGAGTTCAGAAATCTAATTGAAAATGACCCCAGGCTCGGATTTGGCAAGTTTACAAAGTAACGAAAGTTCAACGTAATGTTTTCCTTTTCCGAACTAAAAAAGTGAACTAACAAGAGACCAATTTCTTGGAGTTTTAAACATAGGAGTGAATCCCACACAATCAGGTTTCATTTCCTCATATTCAACGTAATTTTTTTTTTATCTAAATAACAAACCTATTAAGAAGAGAAGTTGATTCTTCCACAAAAATGGGGAAAACCCGTACGATCAGATTTCCATTTCCTCTAAATTCAAAGATTTTCGAATTTTCTAGAGAATTGTTTTTAAAGCATTACTGTTTCCTTTGTCAAATAGGCACCTTATGCTGTATCGGCTTCTGCCAAAGAGAGAGAGAATCGAGAATTTGCAGTTTTAAATCCAGTTCTACTCCTTTAATGCTTTAATCAGCGTTCAAAGTGATCACATCCCAGCGATTCAACTCAAAAAGACATGTAGACAGATTGGGTAGCGTTACCTAGACGAAGAAAACAACACAAAACAAAAACAGATTCTTCGTACTTGCGACGATGACACCTTTGCCAAAATTTATTCCCCAATTTCCGTGACGCACTCTCATGATGTAGAGTAAAAGAGGGCAAGTGTCAACAAAAGCTGTGTCGGGTGTCGGTGGGAGAGTATAACAAGATAATTTGGTTTTATCAACTGAGTTGATTATCTCAGTTTATAAAACCAAATTATTGAAATTGGCTCCGTAAAGGAAATGTTTTTTAGCTTTATCACTCTTAAGGAAGTTTGTTTATTAGTATTCCGCAATGAAAAAGTATTGTTCGTAAGGTAAACCGCGCTATGACGTCTCAGGATGCGAGGTCAAACTGATTAGAGATTAAACGGATTTAACGCAAAAATACTTAATGACAATACTGGCAATAAAACAATTGAGTGTTTTAAATTTTTGTGGATTCTGCGAGTTGGCCGTAATACGCCAAGATAACAACTTATGCCACCTTTCTTTTTTGCTAGGGTAATCATCGTCTGCCGGTGTGCGTAAATAGACAAGTTTTACGTGCATGTAGGTATCACTGTTAGCAATGTAAACGAGGCTATTTTTGTTAAGCTATCCTCATTAGTAAGTTATGTTAGTCTTCTAAGTCATGTAAATAATATTTTTTATTGAAAAAGATGATTTTATATACTTTCAAGCATTTTAATTTCTGGTATTATATTATTATTTCAATTAGGCTCTTGTAAATCTCAGTTTTTTGCATGTATATATATTGTTTTCTCCCTGTGCATAGCTTTTATTCTTTTGTTAACATCTTTTGTGTTTGTCAAATTTTGATTGTGTATAGTAGGTCCACATCAGCCCTTCGGCTGCCAAACAATCTCAACCTACTTATCAAAGAAAGTTTACCTTACTTTACCTTTACCTATTTGTAATCATGAATTACCGAAACCGAGATCTGAGATATATCCCGAAGCCGAGAGGTTATAAACTGCCTATGGCTGAGGCAGATGACTCAGAGGCAGATGACTCAGACGCGAGATTTCATAATTCATGACATCATGCGAAAACAGAATTCAATAATTGTTTTATACATTTCTTGAATAATCTTCGAAAGAAGACACACTACAAGGACGCGGAACTTTGAAACAAGGCATACTTTAAACTCGTCATGATAAATGCAATATCTGCTGCAGACTTGGGTTAACATGTCAACTTAACCCATTATTGAATATATTGATTGAATGCTCTCGACCAATCAGATTTCAACTTAACCCATTATTGTATATATTGATTGAATGCTCTCGACCAATCAGATTTTTCATCGTAAGTCTAATGTGTGTAATAAGACTTATGTACTGTAATGAGTCTATTCTGTATCACGTACAGTGTACTGTAATTTATTATTATTAGCATCATTTTTTATTCTGTGTTTTAAACAGTTTTTTTCCTGACATCTGGTGATCGTGAGTTTGTGCTTTAAATAGTTTGTTAGTGTATCATGGTGTTCGTCTTTTTGCAAAGCATAAATAAAAATAAGGAAAAAATTGTGTCATTATTTCTAAGATATTTAGAATTAGCAAAGGGATTTAAAGAAAGGGCCTCACTGCCGTTTGTTTCAACTTTTCGACAAAGTTTGCAGCGCCCTACTTCAACTTTGCTACAACCTAACTGTCTTGCAAAACGTCGATCGCACAATTGGTGCAAAGAGTAAGTAATAGTAAAGTGCAAATCCACGTATGTCGGTGCTCTTCTAACGGTCATCCAAATCCATTCGTTATGAATAAAAATAATAACAAACATAGGGAATAAAGAAAGATCTTTACGAGAATTCAGTCAGATTTAAGCTTCTCTGTGATTTCATCCCAGTCGGGATAGTAAAGATCTTTCATTTGCTGGGCATGCCGCTCAAGATTTGTTGCTTTAGTCTTGGTGAGCTCGGCAAAAGGACTTTGAGGACAATTCCACGTGGCACATGCAATAAAGGCGAAAAGAACAGCATCGGCGAGGCAGGGTTTATCTCCAAAAAGGAATTTCTTTTCCCCCAAAACTGCCGACGCCGCAAGGAGATCCCTCTTAGCTATTCCATACACGTCTTGTTCCGAGTGTCGCCCAATACCCTGGGACCACACATCTCCTCTACATCGCCTCTGTATAAAGTAGAATATCACATATCTGAGTGGCCAGGAAAAACTTCCAAACAGCTGCATTCGCGTGTACATGGCATAATCCGGTGAAAAAAAGCGGTAGTAAAAAAGGGCCCTGTAAAGGAAAAGCGAATGAACGTTAGGTTTTCACCTACGGTAGCTTGGTTAGGAAGTACTATGCAGCAGTGTTCCATAGACGCTCTGTCTGACCTAGTTGAACGGGTAATTTTACACACGAGACCGGCTCGATAAACGCCAGAGATTATCACTACCGTCCCGATGGGAAGGGATGTGTCCTGGATGGAATGCTAACCTATCACGTGGAGCAGGTAATTCCACTGCCACCCTCCCTCCTCCTCCTCCTTCCGCGCCCCCTCCCCCCTTAAAATGCTTTTCAATCAATAATTCAGCTGCAACTGACAACAACGATGGCAGCATCACAAACGAAAAACGGTAGTAGTGGAAGAAACTCAACCTTCCAGAGCATTGAGAAACACTAGAAACGGTAACAAGAAACAGAGATAACATCATGGACAACGACATTAATTGCTAAGTCAGCAAAAATAAACACTCTATGGCTTCATATTTCTCAGGCGCTTAGTGTGTTGTGCAAAAAGGTTTGAGACTCCAACATCGGTCGTCGTTTTAGAGGCTAGACTGAAAGGATTAATTCTAATCTAGGCAACAGCATAGCGACAAAAAAATTTTACCGGAACGAATGGGAGGATATTGGTCGCCTACGCCAATTTCTCAATTCACGAACAGCTGAACATCTCAACATCTCAACATCTGAACACGCGACAAATCAAGTTGGTTCCAGCAGTCTAGTTCGTTTGAGGCGAGTTTGTAAGTTCTCCATTGTAGATATAAGCAGTGAAATACAGAGATCACAATGCAACTGCTGGCACATATCGCCAGCGGCATTTAGGACGGTGCGTTACGTAATCCATCTTGAAAATTTGAAAATTGATATTAAGCGGTTTGCTTGCGACTCTTCAATGAATTTTTTCAACAAAGTACTGACTAGACTGGTAAACCAATACGAGACTCTACAAAAAAGAAAAATGCATGACTTACCCCCTCCCCTCTGAAGTGGTAATTACGTAATCATTCGAACCTCGCTCGTGTGGAAAAGCTTACGAGTGACTCTCACATTTGGATAAAGGAGAAATTTTGATGAAAGGAAAGAGCAGTGATACAACACTTACCAATACGTGTTCTCCTCCAACATGGTTTGAATGCTGTGAGCAAGTCCTTTCGCTTCGTCGCTCAAATGAGAGCAGTCGATGTCAACTTTGAATTCATTCCTTAAAAAGCGAATGCAGAAATTGGAATCGGCAATTTCTTCTCCGTTTAACTCGATCCACGGAATTTTACCCTTTTTTGAAAATTTCAAACCATATCTGCTCTCGTATGGAATCTTTGCCATGCGAAGGAACGTTTCCAGTTTTAAACATGGCGGGGAGCCACTCAAAGATAAGGGTGAGGGAAGAAACTGGTGTAAGACAACTGTGCCAGGCTTAACAGGTCGTTTGTTCTGTTTTCTGCGCCGTCTTCTGGCTATGAAATAAATGATGAAGAGTGCAACAGTAATGATTCCAACAAGCAGTTCTGTTTTCATCGCGTTCTTCACAGGGCACAACTGGGATGTGTGCGAGAATAAATGCAAATAATAAATGAAATTTGTAACGCAATTCAAAAACTTTGCGAAGTGATGGTGGAGTATGCCGCCAGTGCTCGATGGGAGTTATACTAAATTGATTCTTCTCTAACTTCCCATTTGCACTTATAATGATGTTGAGTGCAACAGATGCAAAAAAAAAAACAACAAGTTGGGGAACTTGTCTGAAAATGAAATAATTTCTATTTCCTTTTTGTATTGCCTGAGAGAAAATGCTGTTTTGGCAATGCAAAGAAGCTTCTGGATCGTAAGGGAAACTTGTGTTTACCTTCTATGAAAAGTGGCTGGGAATTTAAAACAGATTGCAAAAAAATAGGGAAGCGAGAGGCGAGAAAGTTCACGCCGGTTTCAGTACTGTTATGCTAGAAGAAAATGTCACGTTAAACGGTGAAAAGACTCTTATCACTGATTTGTGAACTGATGCATAACTAATGATTATTTGAATTAACCTTTTGAGCTATGCTTATCTTGATGCGATCATGACTCGGCATATGCAAAATTTGGGGTTAAAATCACGCTTGCGTGACAATCCCGCAACGGAGCGCTACAATCAATATTCCCGCATACATCTTGCACTCAAAAAGATGCAGGTGTCACAGTACCTCGGTATCCCTGCTGTCGTCGTTATTTTCGTTTATATCATCGCGAAGACGTTTCAAGGGAAAAAAAGGAAGAGATCTGCCAAACCTGGAACGGTAGTTCTTCACCAGTTTGCTCCTACCGAGTTATGTGTGTCGGCCTCTCCGCCATGTTTGAAGTTGGAAACTTTCCTTCGCATGACAAAGATCCCGTACGAAAATGAATACGGTTTGAAATTCTCTAAAAAAGGGAAAATACCTTGGATTGAATTCAACGGGCAAGAAATAGCAGATTCTAATTTCTGTATTCAGTTCCTAAAGAAAGAGTTCAAAGTGGACATCGATTCTCATTTGAATGCAAATGAAAAAGCAATCGCTCGCACTGTTCGAACAATGCTGGAGGAAAATACTTACTGGTGAGTGAATATTGAACTACAATTTCAAGTGGCTATTGTATTTTGTGCTTTGAAATTACTGAGAGTCCCTAAAAGCTCGAAATAAAATAACAAGTGTATTTTAGAAAATACGCCTGCAGCGATACGCTTCGTTGATTCGCAGATGCCATTTTAAAATTGTCGGGTCAGGATCAAGTTTAATCGTTTCATTCTTCAAAACAAGGTCTTTATTCATAAACTGTGTAGGAGTTTTCTACGTTATACCGCCTGAATTGTTCCTAACCCCTCCCCACTTACTCTTCCCGAACAAGGGGGGAGGGGAAGAGGATTCCTTAATTGATCGTAATTTACTCAAAGTGTCTGATATGTTTGGTGAATCTCGAACAATTTTACAATTCTGCCTCTTGCAAAGGGTTTCTCTTTTAGAACGCCTTGGCCACCGATAGAGACTAGCATCTAATTTCTCCTTACTATATCACCCCTAAATCAAACATTAAGGTCAGGAGAATAAAGGAAAAGATCACCACCTTGAGAAGTTCTTTAAGGGTGAACAAACTCTGCTTGTATGAACACCAGTGTAACAGGTTAAAATGGGAATTTTCAATACACTTCGTCTTGTATTATTTAAACAAGGTCGAGGTTCCAGGGCTCCAGCGTTGGCTGCTTTTCTTCCCCCTCTAGGGTACCCTACAAGCAAAAATGATCACACCAACGGGAATTGGGGAGAAAGGTCGATGATACGCTGTTAGCGTTAGGCGCACTTTTTCATTGCAAAGTGAAGGTCACGTGTCACGTAAAGCCCTAGAACTATCAGAGGTACGCCCATGATAACTGCCAATATTTATTTTGTGCTTTCAGGGAAACTAGGTAATTTTAACTGATAACCTTTGCTTATATCCTACCACCTCGAAAATTATCCTGATCTCTCCCAATAACACGGTTTTACTCATTGCAAGGTTTTTTTTGCTCTGAAATTCCAAGGAAGATCACTTGTCTATCCCTCACCCGTACATAGCCACCATAGCCGTACCTGTGCGACCCTGTGATTTGTGGTTTATTTACAGGACCCTTGTGTACTACCGATTCTTTACTCCCAGCTTTGCCGAAAGAGCACGCGAAATATTGTTTGGTCATCTCATCATGCCGATCAAATATCTTGTATACTATATGATTAAGAGAAAGGTCAAGAAAGATTTATGGTCGCACGGAATTGGTCGACACTCTGAGCAGGAGGTCTATGGAATAGCAGAGAGGGATCTTCTTGCTGTGTCAGAAATTCTGGGGCAGAAGAAATTCCTATTTGGTGAAAAGCCTTGTCTTGCTGACGTTGCAGTATTCGCTTTCGTCTGCGGAGCAACTTTGGAATGTCCACAAAGTCCCTTTGCAGAGCTCACCAAGTCTAAGGCCCAGAATCTTCAAAAACACGCCCAGCGAATGAAGGAGCTGTATTTTCCAGACTGGGACGATATCATTTCCAAGAAACCTAAGTCTAGTTAAAGGAGATTTCCGGAAATCTCACGACCTCGTTCGCTCTGACGAAGGGCTAAAGCTCGAAACGTCAGCTTTGTAACTCTTTACGATGGCCAGTTTACATTATCAACTCAGTTAATAAAACCAAAATCATGACATTCTTAGTTGCGATTTATGATATCTTCCTATACCTTCCTCGCTTTGTTTTCCGTTATAGATGCCGCACAATAGAGAGATTTAGAACCGCGTTTACGTGAAACGGCAAACGTCAGCTTGCCCTTTCACGTGTCACGTAAAATACCGTGGACCTTGCTGCTTTAGTTTGCGTCATGATGTTTTTTAAGCGCCTTTGTATGACTTGCAAGGAATAATAATAACAATAATAACAATAATAATACAAGAATTTATATAGAATAATTTCGATGCTCTTTATCCGGCAATAACTTCTACTCTGTGAGAGAAAAAGTAAGCTAAATCTTACGTATACGGCAAACGCGAAACAGATTAGTTAGATTAAGAACCGCGAAAACGGCGAACGCTGAACTTCGGCTAGCCGTTTGTCGTTCGCCGTTCCGTCCGCGATGTTCGTCTGTTTAAGCTTCCCCACGTCACGGCAGAACAAATGTTCTCGTTCTCCATTCACTGCGACTAGAAATAATGGATACAAAGAAGTAATGTATTTTCGCTTGAATTTGAACTCTATTAGCTTTACAAGCAGTCCATATCGAAGTAAGATGATAAACGAAGCTTAGCTATAAAAGAAAGCGATCAAAAATGTAGAAATAGTCGGTAAAAATTGGCTGCAAATACTCACGTTTTCGCGTTCCCTACAGACGTGAAAAATGTCGTCCTCGAGTAGAAACGGCGACCGGCAAACGGTAAACGCGGGAAATGTCAGGTCACGTGACCCTCTCTGCCGTTCGCGGAAAAAAATACGTGGTGCTTAATCTCTCTATTACTTTCAAATAGAAACGGAAAGCGCAACCGGCAAACGTGAAAAAATGGCGGGAAAAACAAGGTCATGTAGTCACTCTTGCCGTTGGGGTTGCGCCAAGTTTGCTCAAAATAAGGGCAAGACGCTTTGTTCGTTGCTTGTATTCACACAACTACCTGGGTTTAGGTATTTCGAACAAGAAATAAAGAACGCAGTATTTTTCGCTCGGTTTACTTAGGCTTCTAGATCCTATGTACTTTTGCGTACTTGGAAAAACGACAACGCCACGCGCCTGTAAATTCCACCGCATTACCTCAGAGTTTCAAAAGGCTCTCTATGAACAGTAGAAGTCTAAACCCGCACACATGTAGAGGATGTTGAGATATCATTTAACAAACGACGCGGAAGCTGAAATACCCTGTACTCTGGCTTCTAGCCGTTACCATTCAAGTCGATCCAGTTAGCACTGAACACAAATGTGAAATAACTATTCTATTGCTCTTGTGCCTTGTGAACCAGTTCGTAATTCTTCGTCCAACGGCAAGCTACTTGACTAGGACTCTTTCATTGAGTTGATCTTTGTAGTAATAACTGTCCAAAATGCAAAAAGACGATTGGGGTCATTAGCGGGCTTAAAAAAAGTTGTGGCAGCGTTGACCTTAAAGAATGCGTCTTGTTTCTGGCTGTCAAAAAAATAAAAGAAATTAAAATTATCCCTTCTGATCTTTGTTCTTTTAAGTATTGGGAGAAATGTTACTCACCTCCAACAAGATAATATAAACAGTTAAAATTCTCTTTCCTCTCATGATTTAAAAGGCAACAGACACATTGACCTTAGACCAGGCAAGGTACGTCAAACAGGATCACTCTCTCCAACATGAGGTACTGAATTATGAACTACAGATAATTTGTTAGCACCCAATGCAAAGACACAGATATTTTAAAAACACAATGAAAGATAGATGACATTGTCATCCCTACACGTTTTTATTTCTTTCTTTCTTTTTTTTTTCTTTGTTTAGAAAAATACTTCAGAAGGACAACATCCGGATTAAAAAATATCTATAGAAAAAAATTAGCTATTGAGCGCTAAATGAAAATGTCTTCCGCTGAATGTTTGCATACGTTACTAACCATTGAAGCCGGATGACTGGTCACTGATGACTTTGAAATGTTAGTTCAACTCCTCTGAGAATTTGAAAAACAACCTGTACCGCTAACAACTAATTCGCGACTCTACATATTCATTTGCAACTTTTTTTATTATTCTAGGCCAGCGATATTCCATTGAGGACAGGAATATCCGTGAACTTTGCAAGGAGAAGGAGCGCGGGAAAGCGACTAAGATTTCACTTTGAGTGTCACGTCCTGCATTTGGGGCCGACCATTTAACTTTTGAGGGGGGGGTGGGTGATTTCTGGTCATCAAGAAATTTTTTTCCTAGCAATCTGCTGTGCAGGATATTTTTTTTCCGTTCTAAATGTCTTTTTTCTTTTGTTACATTTGGGCTGCATGCAATTTTTTTCTTCCGACAAGCGCTTGCAGAAAACTTTTTTTTCAAAATCACCCACCC